TGTAGACCCCCTAGATCGCCATTGCTGAGCGAGCGGTGGTTTCGTTGCGGTTGCGTTTGGCTTAAGCATCAGTCTAGCACACTCACTAGTCACTCGTTCCCGCCATAAACTCGGCTACGCTTGGCTTCGTGTGGTGTCTCGTCTTATACTTATTTAACCATGGAGAAGGAAAGGACCCTAGACAGGTACGATTATTTTTAAATCATCTCCATTTAATCATAGTTTTCAGATGTAAAACGCAGTAACTGAGTTAGTTAGTCAACTTATTGTTTCGCCCTTTAAACACGCTAAGGTGAAATAACACGTTAGAAAAATTTGTCTTGTGAACTTTAGTTAGAATGAACGTCAAACAGTAACGAAATATAGGATCTGATTATTAAGTCGTATTTGTTAACATCGTGACAGCACTTAAGCAGTAACTTAGCGGATCCAAAGGGCGAGGGGAAGGGGGCGAACGCCCCCACTCAGGCATACATATACATAATATTTTTACTTCATGTAATCCAGTAGTGCATACAAATTGCTTAAAATAATTTGTTACACTAACTTTGGACAAAGATATGATATAAAACTGCCATTTTGGAGACTTAGCCTAGTTTACACACATTTTTCGGGTGGGGGGAGGGGGTCAATCGTCATGAACATCTCGTTATAAAGACTCTCGGTAAGGACTTCTTGCCTCTCGGTTCTCTAGACTAGACGAATGCAAGATACGAGAGAAGAGAAGCGTGCTGTAACGGAACAATCGTCACAACATCTCGTTAAACCCTCTCGGTTCTTTGACGAAAGCTAGATATGAGAGAAGAGAAGCCGTGGAACGAAACAATTGTCACGAACATCTCGATAAAACCTCTCGCTAAGCAAAAATACAATCAAAACGTCTCGAGAGGTTCAAACAATCAAAATGTTTTGATTGTAACATCTCGCAATCGTGCATCCCTACTGATACAGATCACGTTTCACGTTCACTGAACTTGTATTTGTCAGTGTCGTCCATCACAAGTCATAATTTTAAAATATCATATAAATTCTGTTCAATAAAGTCTATTAAGAATTTTCATAGAATCACTCATATAAGTCAGAAGGTAATCCAGCCTAGGCCTAGCCAGCCTAGGAAATAATGTTCATGTTTAATCATCATGTTTAACCCTGGGACGGGTGGTGTTGTCCTGTAATCCAGCTACTAGGAAGTCACAAATTGTGGATATTTATAGGCATGCACTGTGGATGCGATACTTACTCCCTGGTGTGGATTAACGTCCGCACGAGTGAGTACTACGACTACCCACAGTGCTATCCTGATAATTAGACCAATTCGTAAATATCAAAACAAAAAAATTTGGTTCGGATTCCACTATAAACTGTAGGTCCCTTAGTTGCCATTAGCTGTATGGGCTATTAATTAACAGCTGTGTCTAAAGCATGTCGGCATTAGTCACTAACAAGACTACAAGATCGCGCCACTCATCCTACACTCATCTCCATTCATACTTGGCTTAAAATACCTACTATGTATGGTCGCCATTTCATAAAAAAAGTATTCAAGTATATTAAAGTAACCCTGATAATTTTGATTTTTAATTGTCAAAACATTTCATGAGCTGCCACATATATAACAATAATTTATACACAACTGAGTATATGATACACATATAAGGGACCACGTCTCGTCCCGCCGTCTAGTTGTACCTACGTCTACTTGTACCTTGAGGCTTAGGGACAACTAGTCGTAGGTACAACTAGACGTAGGTACAAGTTGACGGTGGCACACCTGACTATTTGTACCTGCAGACTTTTAGGAGGTACAACTAGACGTAGGTACAAGTAGACGTAGGAACAACTAGAAGTGTATCCCACCGACAAGTAGTATCACCTAGCTTGTACGGATGCAACCAGTTGTCCCTACGACTCGTGGTCCCTACAACTAGTTGTCCCTACGTCTATTTGTACCTACGTCTAGTTCTACCTACGACTAGTTGTACCTACGCGTATTTTGCATCCTTAGAGTCTAATTGTATCTATCCTTCAATTCGTTACCCTGTTTAATTGATTACTGCTTGAGTACTTTTTAATAATACCCTTAATTAAATCAGAAACTGCAGTGTTCCGAGTCAATTGAGTATGATTGACAAATACTTTTCACCACACTACAATGTTTTAGTAGTTTTACAAACGTTAATTGGAGGCTGAAAGCTACGCTTTGCTATCCAGGGTCGAAATGGCAGCTATAGTTGTAATTAAATTTTTCCAGCTTTAGTACCGAAAATCGCTTATTTAATTATAACATTTAGTTATATTATTAAACAAGCAGTATATCCTTAATGAATTGCTATAGACCGCTACCTAGCAATTATGTATTACTATTTTTGCTGATTCCTATAAATATTTTTTCCAAAACTTTAAAGTATTTGCATTGATTAGTGTGCATTTCTTATAGTTTACAATGGATTTCCCAGTGAACAATTACCAATGAAGTTGAGGTCCAGTGGTTGAAAACTCGACCAAAAATATGCAATGTACAGACTTCTCTATTTAACATACACTGTAAATAATACATGTGATTGGAATTTTTTTCATTTCAAACAAACTGGAGAAGCTAGGTAAACTATATAAACTAAATTTGATACTGAGCTAGGCATGTGTACACTGGCTATGTAGTCTGCAACTATAAACCAAGATTAGTTTTACTAAGAACTAATAGGCGCGCACAAAAAAGTCATATCTGGGTTACTTTTACAATGGTATTTCAATAGTGAGCTTTCATTACGTTTGCGTAGAAGGTAGGCCTAATTAAGATGTGTTTTTGAGAAAAGTTAGTAGTTAAGTGTGAAATAAACTTATTTGTCAAAGTATATGCATCAACAACCAAACTACGCCAGTTTACGTAATATCCATAAGAATAACATATACATTTTTAATTTGAACTTGTTGTAATATTCTCCGTGACTAATACCATACAACAACACTTCATTATACTCAATTACTTGTTTTTGTAAACTCTGAATTTATTTTTTTAAGATAATTGTTTTAAGTTGTTGTTAAAGCTAATTAATGTTAGTTTTCTATAGAAAGGTAGAGTTTAAGTGGAAAAAAAAAACAATGATAGCAGATCTTGACAAGAAATAAGGAAAACCAAAGTGTAATATGGATAAGGACTGACCAAGGGACTCGGTACATTGTTATCAAGAACAGGGTTTTCTCAATGAGCTGCAAACAAGGCAAATTGTCCTGGCTTTTGTAGCAAGTTGTTTATAAAAAGTTGTTGTAAGATTTTATGATTTTTAAAGAAATGAAATAAATCCCTTAAACTGGTGACAAGTTGATAGGGAGATACAACTAGGTAGGTAGGTACAACTAGATGTAGGTACAAGTAGTCGTAGGTACAAGTAGTCGTAGGTACAAGTAGTCGTAGGTACAAGTAGTCGTAGGTACAACTAGTTGTAGGTACAAATAGACGCAGACGTATGAGGTACAAGTAGGCGGTGGCGTACCCGACTAATTGTACCTGCAGTTTTTTAAGAGGTACAACTAGACGTAGAGACAACTAGACATAGGTACAACTAGACGTACACACCATCGTCAAGTTGTGAGTTTGTGATCCAGCTTGATCGGAAAATGGGAACAGGGTTTTATGGGGTAAAAATTGGTTTTTCGCATTTCTCCCAATTTTTCTCTAAACCTTCTTATAGAGCTTTAAGCAACAAACAATTCAGTACGGTATAACAAAGTGTTTTTGTACGGTTAATGGTTATGAAGAAAACTAAAAAAAATTTAAATTTAAAATTCCCATTTCTTATTCTTATGGAGAATAATGTAAAATGTTGTAGCTTGCTTGTTTATGGATATCTTTTGATCAAACTTGGCAAATATATTCATTTTATACTAAGCTATAATTATTTTACTTAAAAAAACACTTTATTAGTTTCCTTGTAGCAGCAAACCTAGGTACTTGTTAAACCCAATGAATAGATCAATTGAAAATCAATAATTCAGCCAAATGGAAATTCGCTTAAACGGCGGGTTTGCTGCGGCGGGGGTATATTTAAACACCTTATTGGATGAGTTACAGAGTTAACAAATAAGCAGATGGACCAAATAATTTACTAATTTTTTGTGGTAATAGCCAGGCTTACCTAGAATCTGGAATGAGAAAGAGTCCCAATTGGCAGAAGAAACAAAACAATAGGCCTATAGAATTCACTATCACTGTAAGGAAGGTACAAGTTGTCTCTTCAACTTTTAGCCTCCCTTCCTTTTTGAAAATGCTGTCAGTAAAACAAATAACCCCGCCGCAGTAAACCTGCAGAATAAGCGAATTTCCATTAGCCTGATTGGATGATTTACACTAAAATGCCTCCTTAAAAATATCACATTTATTTTATTACCTATTTAAAAGTTTTAACGAGTACTTAGGTTTGCTGCAACAGGGAGGGTAAAAAAGTATTTTTTTTTGTAAACCATTAATTTAGTAAGAAATGAATGCATTTTCCAAATTCGATCAAAATATGCTCATAAACAAGCAAACTACAACAGTCTGGTTCGCTTGCACTGTAGGTTGCTGCAGTGAGGTATTGAGCCTAGTATTTGAGAAAAGTGCACGCGTCTTGCTGTAACTTGAAGTAAGATTATTTAAAATGTATTTAAGTATCAATTTTGTTCATTAACGTTGAAATCAACTCATTTAGAGTTTGGTTAGTTTGAGTCTACTGTATGGATTTTTCAAACTAGGCTATGCAGATTAATAAAGATTTTTTCATTTAATAAGCCATTTAATTCGCCTATTGGGTCTGAAGGTGATTGGAGTGTCCAATCGAAATCGATCACCACTTACCATCTTTTTTTGTATATTTACCGTCTTGTTAGTAACAGTATAAGCGTAAATATATGTTTTAAGTGTTATAAGACGTTTCTTTAATTTACTTTCCATAAATTTAATAGGCCTATTGTAAAAGTGTCGCATGATTCATACATTAATTTTGTGCAGGAACGCCCTTTTAATAAAGGGTGTTTGTGAAATGGGATTCAACGCTCCGACTAAGCTACAAAAAATTGCTTTGCCGATCCTTCTTCCTGATCCGTAAGTAAAAATATTTTATTTTACAAGTAGGAAGTAGGTGTTTAAGTTACTACAATAGATTTCGTGTCAGACTTGCCAAGCAAGAGATTTCCTACAAACCTCTAATCTATTATTTTTTTAGTCTTTTTAAGTCTAATATGTCTGATCAAACCTGTCTAATATGTATTGTAATATTTCTTCATTGAGCATCTACTAAAGAAAACTCATACACATTTTGTTGGTGAGTCAGTGGCTCATTCAGTAGCGTCACGGACTACGGGCCCAAGGCAGCAATGTTGTAGGATCCTGGTCACTGCTATGAACATTGTATCATTACAGATCACCTTTGTACTGTACCGGCTCACCCCTTGCTTCGGTATACGTTCCATGCACGGATAGTTAGTGTATGTGAACAGGCAAATGCAACGTTAAAAGAGGCCGACCAACCTCTTTTTTTATAAAAACAAATGTTTAAACTGTTGCGTGTGAGTAATTGCTAAATTTACCGTACCCCGGTGGATTTTACTGCAGTGGTACTCCAGCAGACTTTACCTTACTCCAGCTGATTTCACTATATCTGTAAAAAATAACTTTTAGGTCTTCAAAAAGTACAGAAACCAGCTGATTTATCTATTATATATGTGTACTTATTGTTTTTCTCAAGTATGTTTTTAAATCTTACTTTTTATCGGTTAACACAGTGGCATAACAGATTTTTGCGGGCCCCCTCTCAAGGGTGATTTTTAGACCACCGATACAACATAATCAAATACCCCCCTCCACCCCAGAGTTATTTTTGGACCATCGATACAATTAATGATCAAACAGATTAATCATAAATAGAGTAGTAAATAAATTATGGACTATGTTCCATAAAAGGGCGTGTTAAGTATTTCAATGTTGGTTTGATGAAAAAAAAATCACTACATCATTATATCAATAACAGTGTTTTTGTAGATAGTTTTGAAATAAAATAAAAATCTCTTATTTTTCATCTCTATCAGAATGTTTATATCAAGGAGGTTTTACGTTTAATTTATCAAACATGTTATCAATTTTTACTATCCTGATAATTAGACTAATTCGGTAATTACAAGGCAAAAATGTGGTTTGGATTCCACTATAAACTGTAGGCCCCTTAGTTGTCATTGGCATAATTAACAGCTGTGTCTAAGGAATATGTTGGCCTTAGTCACTAACAAGACTACAAGATCGTGACACTCATCCTACACTCATCTCCATTCATACTTGGCTTAAAATACCTACATTTGTATGGTCACCATTTCAAAGTAATGTATTATAAGTATTTATTTATTAGGTTGGTTTAATCTTTAGTTATAATTAACTCATACACTAAAAGTTAGTTAATTAAAAATATTGACGTACTTTTATCACAGGCTAAAATGGCCTATTGCATTTTTTATTTTGTCTTCATTTGGATTTCAAGCGTTTACCTTATAAACATTTATGTCTTTAGTATTGGTTAATTGTGAGGTAAAATTAGATATAGGCTAACAAACACAATCAGTAGAGTAGTAGTATATTGTATTTAACAAAATAAAATCAACATTAGGACAAAACTAAAATGTAAAATAATACAATATTAAAATTAAAAGCCCCAGCCAACATTCATGATGCCAGGCTCCAGGTAACTTAATCTTTCAAAATGTTGGCAGACATAAGCAGTGTACTAAATCACAGAGAAGTAAAATATTTCCCGGTGACGAAAGTCAGATGCATAATAATCAATGACCCAAAAGTTTAATTTTTTACCTTAGTTTGTTATCACTGAAGAGGCCTAACGAAATTAAACGATAACAACGTAATATTAATAACATTAATGTTATTACTTGTTCAATACAGTTATTGAATGATTGATAATGCATTTAAATAAGAATTAACTCCAACTCGGTCCTCCCTGTTCCTCCTCCCTGTGGCTACTCTCTGCTCGCCGTTTCCCGCTCACCGGTTCACGGACCCCCTCAGCTCCTGGGCCCCCTGCTTTGCAGGCCCTGTGAGCCCTTCGGTTACGCCACTGGGTTAACATGATAAGCGGTAAACATGTATTTGCTTAAAACAATAGACATAGCCTAGATAAGCTTATTTCATAAAATGAGAATATAACCTGCACCCTAGGTCTTTACGGTACTCCAAATTTAGGCATAGAATTGTTTGTACACGAATCTCACATTCACACTTTTTTACCAACAACCATTGGTATAAGTATTGTTAACAATAATTAGTTCTATGGTTTACATGTTTGATTGTTTCAGGCCTCAGAATATGATTGCACAAAGTCAATCTGGAACTGGAAAAACTGCAGCTTTTGTATTAGCAATGTTGTCAAGAGTAGACCCATCTCTGAACTACCCTCAAGTGAGTTGAACAACAATTTGTGTACATAGCAGTACATTTAGCCTACAAAGCTGATCGTTATTAAGATGATGACTTACTATGCAGGGTGAGTTTTAAATGAGTTCCCCCCCCTACTTTTTTCTATATTTCTTAAGATATCAACTCCGGACCACGTCAGATCATTGTAGAGTAGTAAGTACTTAATTTTGACTGGGTATAAATTTTTGGCCGTCATCTTGGATCCGCCATATTGGATACAAAGTTTTTTTCCCAAATGTAAAGGTAGGGTTATGACCCATTATTTCAAACTAGAATTTTTTCGCTGATTGCAATGCTGCAATTCGTTTACAAAGGTCCATTTTGGCCATGTAGATAATACTTTTTAATGAAACAGCTGTTAATTTTTAAATTGTATCTTAAACAACACACATTTATTGAGAGTTACTGGAATGTCCAAAGGAAGTATTTGCAGTGTTATTTTCTTGAACTCTTAGAGAACCTTTGAATGTTATTAGATTAACGAAAAAAGGGTTGTGCATGTTTACTAGCGCTACTCAGCAACAAAAAACAATTTAATTTATCTCAAAAAATATATTCTTTAAGTCCACTGAGCAGCAGCCAAAAAAATATACTATGTAACTTCTACATATAGTTACAAAATGCTCTAACTCGCATTGTGACATTTATGATTCGGCTTATATTTCTCCAACAGTTATTCATACACAGAAGAAGTTCAGTGTGCTCTTATCGTGTCTAATAACACCCAAACACAAAAACCTTGCCTAAAGTGGTACCTATCTTGACAAATTATTTGCAGTGGCCTAAATTACGGACCACGGCCCACTGGGTTGGTAACATTATTGAAAGTAACACGTTATTTTAGCAGTAAGACTAAGAGTAAATACTATTTAAGCAGCAACTGTCATAACAGAGAGGTCATATTCCTTTTAAACTAGATCACATTATCCTTTATAAGATACGTTGATTAACAATGCATGTAAACGTCAATATTTACGTAACAGCCAATTTACAGTATGTTTTTCTCTTTGGAAATGCCACATTGCTATTTCATTTGAATTATTTGTTGCCAATGAAGCCACACGACCATATAAACGAGGAGGCCCCAAACCGTCAATTTCAACGGGTTTCACCTAGTTTTAATATTTCATCAAGAAAGCTTTATAACCAAAAACAGAGGCATTGAGTCCAGAATAAAAAAGTAGTTCAAAATGATGGGTCACAACACCACCTTCATATTTAAATTAATTCATCACATTTCAAAATGGCATATCCAAGATGGCGACCGAAAAAATACATCCACCATAACCAAGGAAAATAGGTGAATGGTGGTGTATACTTATCTTTATCTAATACTATTTTGAGATTATGGTCTTAGTTTGTAAATGCACAATGTTAAAATGGGCTAACAATAATGTTATAAAAGTCCTCATAACTTTATAACGGAGGAAGATTTTTAAAACTAATTGCGGCATTGTAATCAGCGTAATATTGTAGTTTGAAGTTATGGGTCACATCCCAACCCTACCTTTATATTTGAAAAAAAATTTTATCCAATATGGCGGCCAAACATTTTTACCCAGTCAAAATGAAGTACATACTACTCTACAATGATCTGATGTGGTCCGGAGTTGATATCATAAGAAATATAGAAAAAAATAGGGGGAAACACATTTAAAACTCACCCTCTATAATCAGATGATTGGTGTTTAATATTAAATGAAAAAGCTCTTAAAATACAATACAAAGCATCAGACTAAACAAAACAATGAAAAAGTACACTTGCCTTTTGAATTACCCGGTACAATGGTACAATGCAACAATTAATAGGTACCTTAACATTGTGAACAATTGTAAAAATTGACTGTTTGGTGGCCAACTAAAAGATAAAAACATGTTTTTTTCTGCTCAAAAAATTAGTTAAACTGCACAATAAAGAAAGAACCACAAAAGAAAACTTACTCATAATTAACTTTGGGAAAGATGTGGCCAATGCAGGGTATTTGAACGTTTGTTATTTTATTTTCAAATTACATGGGCCATGTTTTGATAGCTGAAGACATTTTCACCTCATGATTAAATACAGGTAAAATATATAAAACTTGATCAGTGCCCCAATTTCTCGAGTAGGCCGTAAAAACTGGCTTTTCGGCATCATACACAGTCAGATATTGAAGTAATACTCATTCCGCTTTCTTAGGCTACGCATAAAAATTACAAAAAACTTAATGATTCTACGCAAAGTGCAGGAAAAAACTGTAATTTAATTTTTGTTTTATACTGAAATAATTATATATTTTTTATATTTAACCTAATTTTTAATGGTTAGGCCCATATTTTGTTTTGTTTAGACCTATTAACTTTTTAATATGATGGGTTTATGCATGATTTACAAAACAAAATATAACCATTAAAAATTAGGTTACATAAAAAATATATAATTATTTCAGTATAAAACAAAAATTAGATTAAAGTTTTTTCCTGCACTTTGCGTAGAATCATTAAGTTTTTGGTTACTTTTATGCATAGCCTAAGAAAGCGGAATGAGTATTAATTCAATATATGACTGACTGTGTATTATGTCGAAAAGCCAGTTTATACGGCCTACTCCTGAGAAATTAGGGCACTGATCAAGTTTAACATATTTTCCCTGTATTTAATCATGAGGTGATTATGTCTTCAGCTATCAAAACATGGCAATTTTTTTATTTGCCTAGTTTAGTTTTTCTCTAGTATAGCCCATGATTAAATATGATTTATAACACTTAATTTTTACTTTTAGGACTATTTCTATCGCTATATAAATTTTTGTTTCTAGGTTCTTTGTCTAACACCGTCATATGAGTTAGCCATACAAATCGGCAATGTTGCTGCAAAAATGTCTAAAGAATGCAATGACATCAGGATTCGCTTTGCAGTTAGAGGGGAAAAAGGTATGCCTACACTACTACCAATTGTTCTTTATAGAACAATCCATATAGGAATTTAGTGCAGTTATGTAGTTTCAATTTGTTACTCTTGGATTTTTTAATAGGCCTTAATATTGATATGTCTGTATTAATATATAAAAGTTGGGTTTGCAAGTTAATGTGTCACAATTTTACTTTCTCTCTGCGGACACACAAATTGTTTATGTCAAGCTAACGAGGGAAAGAATGTTTAAATTTGCTGGTACCCTTCATTTAGGTTGTAATTAAATACCTAATTTGTTATCTTGTTTTTTGCAGTGGAAAGAACTGCACGGTTAACTGAACAGGTAATAGTTGGAACGCCTGGAAAAGTGGTCGACTGGGCAATGAAGTACAAATTTTTTGACATCAACAAAATCAGAGTATTCGTTCTCGATGAGGCGGATACAATGATTGGCTCAGTGATGAGCCGTTTTTACGCCCAGGGTCAACATTACCAAACCTTCTGCATTATAAGGTTAGTTTTCATCACTTTGTACAAGCTTTTTAAAAACAGCTGATTTAAAAATTAAATTTTCCAATCTTTAATTTAGAGCTAGAGGAAAACGATCATCTGATTTTTCCTTGCTCTCAATCGTTCCTCTATTTTCTCACTGTATGCAGCAGGTTTTTTTGCTGTTTATTTAAAAAAATAAATCATCTGTTATACTAAAAAGTTTTGTTATATAAGATGTTAATTTTGCAAACTTCAATCCTAAAAAAATATTCAGCTGTTAAATTTAAAAAAAACCTTTCAAAAAAAAAACAAATAAAATCAATTCAGTTTTATTTCCACAATATATAAAAAATTTACAATTTTTACAAAAAAATAAAATACGAATATATATAGCCTTGAAGTAGTATACAGTATATTGTTTACGGAAAATAATTCTAGTAAAATTAAATTTATAAAGTTATAATAGTAAAAACTTATATACTAGTAGAATGTTTACTCCGGCTAGAATAATAACTAATGTAATAGATAAGGGAAATGAGTCTACATAGACCTCAGTGGTCTGTCCGTAGACTCGAGTTGTTAAAAATTATATATTTTTTTGAGCTATTTTGCAATTGAAGAAAAAGTTTAAAATTAAATAAAAATTTACCATGTGCTATGGGAACGTGTAAAGATAAAGATAATTGGAAGACAACAGATTTTTCAGCTTTTGAATTGATATAGGCCTACTAATCATTTTTCAATTTTCTTTTTCGTTTTGAGTTGTCAAAACTTGGATAAAACTCTTATGGTCTTTCCTGCCAATTTGGTTTTGAAATGAAAATGAAAATGAAAATCGTCTTTATTCTTGAGCGTTTTTCATATTACAACATATGTTTTTCAAAACAACTCACGTCAACATAAATAATATAAAACAAAAGCAACTCTCAAATCTTAAGTTAGGCTAATTAAAAATTAAAAAAAGATGCCTGTACAGCATTCTCAGACGACCTATTGCTCTCTGGCATGTGTAACTCACATGATCAGAAAAGGAGAGCTCAGGATCGAAATGAAGTCCAAGAAGCTTGGGAGCTTTACACTCTTTGAGCGGAATTCCACCAAGGCATACACCAGACAGGGGCTCGGACCAAACAACCCTGCTGACAGAAAAAGTCACCAATGAACATTTGTCTCTGTTCAGCTTGATGCCATGGGACATAGACCATGCAAAGACAGAATCCAAATCAGAATTTAAATCAGAGACTGCCTGATTTGCTGGGTCAGCGTCATGCTGAAAAGCCAGCTGAGCATCATCAGCGTATGAATACAACCGACAATGACGCAAATCTCTTCCCATAGATGCGGCAAACAAAGTAAACAGGACAGGTCCAAGACAGCTGCCCTGTGTGACTCCTTTGGACTTTTGCATGGGGGCGGAGATCTCAGATCAAACTTTGGTCTTTTGGCATCTTCCGTTCAAGTAGGAGTGAAACCACGACACTACCTGCTGGTCAAATCTGTAGTGATACATCATGGCCAACAGTAGATCGTGATCAATAGAGTCGAAGGCTTGCGAAAAATCCAGCATTGCCAGAGAAGTACACCTCTTTTCAGCTCTAGCTTTTATGACATCATCACAAAGCAGTAACAGAGCAGTTGAAGTACTGTACCCCCTACGAAAGCCAGATTGTGTTGCTGGAATTATTGACTCCAACTCCAGGAACTCAACCAACTGAGAGACAACAATAGTCTCCAAGACCTTGGAGAGGGCGGGTAACACAGAGATGGGGCGAAGATCGGCCAAAGAAGAGGGAGCACCAACTTTGGCCAGAGGAATGACACCCCCGTAGCCAACGAAACATTCAACAGGTGCGTGACGGCCTCAATACAGTACGGACTTACCATCTTTATCATGCTGATCGTTATCTCATCAATGCCAACAGCCATAGAGGTGATCTTGTTTATGGCATCTTTTACTTCTCTTACTGTTACTGCTCTAAAAGAAAATGTGTTTTCTACACTCTGAGAAATGTTATTTAAGTAATAATCAAGAGTTTCAAAGTGAAATTGAGAGCCAGTTCCCATCATTGAAAAATGTTTATTAATTTCATCTGGATTACTAAGAAATGATGGGAGTTCAGCATTTTTTGCCTTAATTGCCCCACTCATCTTAATTTTTTTCCAAAAATCCTTTGAATTTGAGCATTTTGCTAATTCTCTCTGGAAATAATTTCGTTTGGCTCTTCTAATAGCACTGTTTAGAGCATTTCTAGCTCTACAGTATTGCTCTTTGTCCATGCATTTCTAGAAATCATAAGCTTTTTTTTCCAAAAGTTCTTTTGCTTTGTGAGATCTATAATATTTTGGTTTCTCCACGGTGCTCTCTTTCTAGTAACCCTTTTTGTTACTAATGGGGCATTTCGATTAAACATTTCTAAAATAGCAGTGGTTATGAAGTTTGATATATTGTTTACATCACTCATGTTTTGGACTGTGTTCCATTTAACCTGGGAAGCACACTCAATCATATTCTCTATATTAAAATTTGAAAAGTCTCTGTAAGTGATATATTTTGCCTTTTCAGTGGTTCTGTTATGCTTAACGGGTATGTCACAAAAAGTCAATTTATGGTCAGAGACTCGGACACCACGCTTATCATAAATTACTGACATGTCTATAACATCACATCTTGAGTAATCAATCTGATTGTTCACCAATATATGATCGATCAGCGTGGACGATGTTTTTGTGACTCTCGTGGGCTTATCAACTAGCTGCCGTAGATGAATGTCATTGATTTTTTTGATTAAGAAGCGGCTTTCTGGCTGTGAATTATCTAGCAGATTTATATTTAGATCACCCATTACAATTATATTGTCCGTAAACTCAATCATGTCATGGAACACAGATAAAAAGAAAGGCTCGATATGCGTGTTAGGGGTGTCTCCAGGTCTATATACCACGCATATGCAAAATTTTCTACCTTTTACATTGACAACACCACAAACATTTTCCATAGGATACTGTAAATGAACTGTCTTAGGAATGAAACTCAAACCACGTTTTACATACACAGCCACACCTCCCCCTCTACTAGCAGATATGCCCAACTTTCTGTCGTTTCTATACAACAAGTATCCAGGCAATATAACATCATCAGAGCTAATATTTTCTGTGAGCCACGTTTCAGTCACACCGAAAATGTCCAGGTTCAAGTCCAGTACCACAGAAGCCATCTCCTCAAAACCTGTTGAAAGTGAGTTCATATTAAGGTGGCCTATCCTGAAGATTGACTCATCCTTACACTCACGTTTTTTGGTCTGAGTTGGTTGACGTTACCCTCAAAATCCCGAGATTCTCCACCAGGAGTCAAAATCTGCCCTCCCACACCAGGAGACGTAATGGTCGAGGGAGTTTCAGTGGCAATCTCACAAGAACCATGACGCCTGCAGGTTTCTAAGAGATTTATCCCAAAAATAGATACCCCTCCACGATTTAAATGTTTACCATATGTTAGTTTAAATGGTTTTATGTTAGTTAAATATCATACAACATCCATGTTGTTAATAATCCATTAATTATTCTTCTTTGTTTATCTGTTAAAAACAGATTTCATGAAATAGAGCTGGTTGGAAAGAAATATGATTATCTTACAAGAAATCGAGGCAAGTTAGCATTAAGTCCTCATAAACTGCGCCTTTTTGAGAAAAAAAAACCCAAAAACGCCGGAACAAAATTCTATAATAAACTTCCAAAGTACATACAAGCAGAAGTAAATATAAAAAAAATTAAAAATAAACTTAAGAAATTTCTTATTAGCAGGGCTATTTATTCATTTGATGAACTGTAATTGACTTTTCTTTCCCTACTAATCAAAGTATGTTTTAACTGTTAGTTTTATGTTCTTTTACAATTTTTCCCATTTACTATAAGCATGTATATTTTATTATAACTTATAAGAAATGTGACACTATTCATGCATATATTTCTAATGTACTTGATGAATAAAGATAATTTGAATTGAATTGAATTAACATTTAGGCTCGTCCAAGCTGGAGCGGGACAGCGGCAGGGGCGGGACAAATTCCGTGCGGGATTTTAAAGCACATGGCGATAAATGTGAGCACCCTCACAAGAGAGATACCGCTGCCGTCGTCGCATTGTTCCATCGTCCCGCCGGTTTGAAACTTGTTGAATTTTCCCACTCGCACCGCCGCAGGACTACATGGCTTATTATGCCGTTTTAGTATTCCCTCTGTTATCAAATCAAGGAGTAGGCCTACATCAAAACATGCGATGGTCATTCTAAAATAAGTATAAAACCGCCATTCTTCTTTTCTTAAATCCAGCATAAGGTACTCGCCAAATAAGTTTATGATTTGATCAATTTCATGAAACCAAAAAGTTTCAACTTCATCTTCATGCTCAGCTGTTGCTAGCATTTCCCTCAGCTTTCTTTTTCTTGTGGCCTCAGAATCATAGCTTGAACTCATAAAACACAATAATATAAAAATTCATTAAACTAAGCTGAAAATGACTGAATAGACATCCTGCTTTCCTCTGCCTTCCGCTTCGGGGTGGACTACCCCATTCCCGCCTCATACCGCTGCCGCTCGTTACCACCGGTCACTCACCCACTTCCCGCTTTCGCCGCTGTCCCGCTCCGGTTTGTACAAGCCTTCTCTTTGGTAAAGTATTACATTTAAATTAATGTTTATAAACATTTTTTAATTTCTTTTAATTTTAGAGAATTGCCTAAGGAGTGTCAGAAGATGTTTTTCTCCACAACTTACAATGATTCTGTAATGGATTTCGCTGAAGCACTCATCTACAATCCTGTCCTAATAAGACTACGGCGAGAAGAAGAAGTCTTAGACAACATCAATCAATATTACGTTATTTGTTCAAACCCTGGGGAACAATACGTGGCGATATCTAACATTTACAGAGTCGTGACGATTGGCCAAACAATTATATTCTGTTGTGTAAGTACTATAGTTTAGTGTGGTTCCAATATTTGTTTATTCGTATAACAACTTTTCATCGTCACAATTGAGGAAAAAATTTTTTTATTGAGGTTCATCACAGCAGCATAAGATTGTGACAGAAGTCATTTGAATCAAATAGAATAATTAAGAAGTGTATTTACCCTTAATTCTTTTATACTAAAACTTTATTGGTGCAAAAAGGTTTTTTGTGTACTAGGGGGGGGGGGGGGGGTAGTTAGGGAATTAGGGATATTTTGGACAATATTATTTTATATACATAAAATAACTTCTAAAACAGCATATGGCGTGTTATAAATTTTATGGAAAGTAAATAAAAATACTTTTAATAACACTTAAAGGATATATTTTACACTCATACCGTCTTGTTAAAACTGAATACTTATGATCAATAAAAGTTTAAATTAACCCTTTGCGGTCATATTTATTGTTCTCTTCTCCTTCCCAACAGATCAACACCTAGTGGCCCTCTCCATTTTGTTTTATGACGCAACATCGTCAGCGCTGAAAGTAGCACCACAGCTCGGGTCAGCAACGCATAGTGGCCCTTCATGCGATTCCTGTTCAGCACGGCTGACCACCCCATAGTGGCTCCAAGTTTCTCTTTATAATACTACTTAGCATTGTATTGTAGTTTTGTTTTCTATTCTCCCCCGCTTGGGAGTTGCCTCGACATTTATCGGAACTATCTAGAGACAACAACAAGCCATTGTATTTGAATTAAAATTTTGAGTTTGAACTTGTCACATCACGGATCTTGTTGCCACACGTAGTGGCCTTCCGACCGCTAAGGGCTAATTCAATTAAAATCTAACTTGTGATATTAATAAACAACATACAGCAAACAAAAACAACAATACCATAGGTGAAACACGAACTACACTCCGTGAATCTAGTTGCGATATAGAAGCACTAACTGTATGAACAACAAACAGTCCATAAGAGTCCTTGGAGGCTAGCGACAATCTTGGATAATTTAATACAGCTGATGAAGGGTTAATTATCATCCAAAAAGATTTTTCCATAAACCAAAGTGATCATAACCTTAACATAGGTTACATAGGTTAACCTTAACATAACCTTAATACCTTAACTAGGGCACTGTGGAATTAAACATTTTCTGTGTAGCTTTTTTTAATTGTTTTATGAGTTAGAACATCTAGACTCCAAGGACTCTTAAATGTAATCAGATACATCTATAATTTTTCCTTTATACATTGCCAGTCTGGGAAGGGTAGAGTTTAAAGACTGAAGCACCACAAATTGTAACGTTTACTTATTTGTAGAAGAGGCGCACAGCTAGTCGGCTAGCAGAGAAGATGACTAAGAACAGACACACGGTGGCGCTACTGACGGGAGAACTACCAGTTAGTCAGAGGCTCATGACATTGAACCGCTTCAGGGAGGGAAAGGATAGAGTACTCATTACGACTGATGTTCTTGCCAGAGGTAAGTATCATGCTTGGTTGCAAAATTTCAAAAAAATATATTATGCAAGTTAAATGTACGTTTTACAGTGATCATTAAAATATTTAGCTTGAGGAGGCCCATAATCTTGCGGGAAGACCTTAGAGTTGCTGTTTTCTCTCGCTGATGAGTCACATCCACTCTCATGCCACTTACTGAGCTGTCTATCACAGTTGAAATGTCAATTGTCATGTTATGTACTCCATCAATCTACATTATTAATTCTGTTTAAGCGAGTTTTTTCAATCAAAATTGTAAGAGTTTGACAGCTTGCAGGATGATGGGAGAGGGCTCAAATTAAAGGTCTTGGCCCCAAGTAGTCGCCCAAAAATAGCAGATTATGTCCAAATCTACCAGAAAATGAGAAACAATTAAAAATATCTTTCTTTTAAATTGCATTGGGACTGTAAAACGTCTGATTTGTTTACTTTATACATGTGATTACAAATGTACATATAATCATTTTTATCCGACTTTAAATTCTTTTAATAGAGTGTGTGAAGATGGTTTAGGCCAATAAATTTCAGAATTATATAAGAATGTTATTGATTATATAAGAATAATTTGTTTTACTTTTGATCTTTTTAGGGACTTATGTCATTATATTTTATATTGATGTGCTAATTCTGGACAGTTTTAGTTTTATTTCAATGAATTAAGATGAGATAATTTTTTTGTATATTTTTTTATTACTAGGCTACAGGCTCATACATAGGTTCCAATATAATTTGTTTTGTAAATAAACATGTATGAAACTAAGTTCAAAACAAACGTACACTATACTACTTGCTGAAACGACGCCCTATAGCTATAACCAGCAATTGAATGAGCTGTTTTTATTTAAAAACTGACGAACAATAACATTGCAGGTATTGACTTTGAAGGTGCGAATTTGGTAGTTAACTACGAGCTACCATTGGAGCACAACATTGATAGGAACCAGAAATACCAAGCAGATTGTGAGACATATCTGCACAGGATAGGGCGGACAGGGAGGTTAGGCAAGGTGGGGACCGCTGTCAACCTGATACACTCTCCCCAGGCATTTAAGACACTGAGACAAATCAAGGAGCATTTTGGTGAGTAATTGTTAACTAGCTGCTTTACCCATGCTTATAATAAAAAAATATTTTTTTTGTAAAGATGGACATAAATCAGGGATTTTAAGGTTTTCATCATAAAGACATTTAACAGACTTACCTTACTGGATGAAAATAGGTTTTCATCTGATCCATTAGAAAAATCTAAAGATGTAAGTCTAATTTATGACTAATTTATTTCTTTAAAGTCTACTGTAGAAAATAGAGAATAATAACACTCGCACATTCTTGAAATATAGAAGTAATCAGAAGTGGCTCCAGAGGGCAGGCCAGGCAGGCACGGGCCTACCAAACATTTTGGTGGATATAGATATTCAAAATTATTAAGAAATCAAGTAATTTAATTATATGTAAATAAAGGGAAAGCATTCAAACTAATTATTTTGCATTTCAATTTTAAAATCTCCTCCTTTTTTGCAAGGAAAGCCCTTCAAACCACTTCTCCCCCAATCTAACTGTTTCTTGATCCTTGTCAGGCCTACCCCAAATAAATGTTCCTGAAGCCGCCCCCGGAAGTAATGACAATTTTACCTCTTAGTTTTATCAAATTTAAATTTATTAAAATTAAAATTAATCAATGTGGGGCATAATATTAACACCATTTTAGCGAATTTCCCTATAGGGAAGTAGCTATTACCGTAGGTGGCATGGTAAGACCTAAGCCCGGGAGCGATTTACTTTTTCATTTTGATGTCCCCAGAGGCCAAAAACACCATTCGTTCAAATTTTTATATATGTATATATATATATATATATATAGATTTATATATATATATATGTGTCCGTGAACGCGATAACTTGAGTAATTTTTGTCCAATTTTGATGAAATTTGGTTTAAAGGTGTAAAGCGGGATAAACTTGAATGAGTTCGCGAACCAGCATGATCGGACCATGGGAACAGGGCTTTACGGGGGGTTTTATGGGGTAAAAATTGGTTTTTCTCACTTTTGACCCTCAAAACACAATGTTTCCCAATTTCTCTTTATACCTTTTTAAAGAGCTTAAAAAAACAAATAATTCAGTATATAAAAGTATTTTTGTACGGTTATTGGTAACGGAGAAAATTAAAAAAATTGTAAATTTAAAATTCCCATGTTATTCTTATGGAGAATATTGTAAAATGTTGTAGTTTGGTTGTTTATGGATATATTTTGATCAAACTTGGCAAACTTATTTTTTTGTACTAAGCTATTAATATTTTACTAAAAAACACACTTTATTAGTTTCCTTGTAGCAGCAAACCTAGGTACTTGACCTATAATGTTATTTAAATATATTTAATTGAAAATCAATTCAGACAAATGGAAATTCGCTTAGTTGTCAGGTTTGCTGCGACGGGGGTATTTGGAATAACATTTAACGAAATGTGTATTGCATTAGGTTGTTATTATTTTATTTCTATTTTTTGTTGCAATGAAGTATGCATTCAAATACTTTAGCCCTAGCCCTACCTCATTCTTTATTATTGTCAAAACATTTTCAAACAGTTTGCTTGGTACAAATTTTACAATACACCAGGGATTTAAAATAATTGTTTAGAAAATACACTCTTATATTTGTTTACTTTAGTGGCTTCTAAAGAATTAAAAAAAAATGTTTTTCTCTCATTATTTGGCCTATTTTAAACACTTTTTGCATTTAGCACTTTTGGGGCAAACACCTGTTTCACCCTGAAAATAAAAAAGGCTATAAATCAGAGTTTATTTTTAATTTTACTTTTAATGAGTTTTTACCATATTATTTGGGACATTTTAAACACTTCCCCTCTGGCACTTTTTCTTGAAAAATCATAAAAGTACAAAGTGGCGAAAATGTCAGGCACACTCCTTTACCAAACTAAAAATAATCTAACATACCCTAACCTTGGTTTAACAAAAATCAATCATTTTCGGCATATTATTGCTAACCTAAGCATGGGTTAGGTTAGGTTGGATTATTGGATTATATATTTAGGTTGGATTTGGTAGAGGAGTGGGCCGGGCATTTTCGGCACGTTGCAGTTTTTTATGATTTTTCAAACCTGATTTTCTGGGTAAAAACGGCAGTTGCCGAAGAAGTGGCAGAGGGGAAAAGTGAATGTCCTCAGTAATAGTAAAAACACATTAAAAGTAAAAAATATTAAAACTTTTTGCGATTTTCAGGGTGAAATAGGCGCCAATTGTAAAAAGTGTTCAAAATAGGACAAATAATGAGAAAACAAATTTTTTTCAAAATCCGTTAGAAGCCCTTAAAGTAAGAAAATATCGAAACGGATGTTTTATGTTTGTTGTTCTTACATCAGTACATAGTTTCAGTTCACCAATTGTAACTTAGTTTTTTGAGAATATCTGAATAAAGATCATTTCAAACAGTGTAATCTTCTTTCAGGCAAAGAAATAGAACGACTTGAAATAGATTGCAGCCTTACCTCAGCATTAGACTTTTAATTAGGGTTGAGTCAGGACACTCCTCTTTTTTAAGAATAACTCCCTTTTGTGTTTGTCAAGTTTTTTTACCTTAATGTACCAATATACTGTACTAAAATTTATGAATAAAATATTTACTTATAATACAGATTGTATATTTCATTCTCATTCCTTGTTTTAATATTGCTATTTTTAATTATATTGTTTCAAATGAAACTTGAGCTGGAGACACTTTACATCCTAGTGATGAAATATACTATTTTACAACTTGTCATGGTTACAAAACCATAGTGAAGCTGTTTTCACGGTCTTCTACTTAAGACTTCCTGACTTCCTTTTAATCCAGCCTTGCGACTACAACTATATGTCACACCAAATATGGTCTCAGGAATTCAGCTAGACACCGAAAATGGGCTTTGATCAATTTTAGATTCAGATTCAGATTCTTTATTTGTCACAATACATTTTCCTCCCCAGCACAGCTGGTAAAACAGGTGTCATGTCAACATCTTAAAAACTAAAATCAAAATATACAAGACATACAATTCATTTTGCAAAAACTTAATCCAATGCCTCAACTGTATATACATATTTACATCATATTACAAAGTGTCACATAAGAAATCATTTATACAATAGTATACTTTGTTTAGCAGCAGGGAACTTCTTTCTTAAACTTATGATCATTATCAATATTCTTTATCCTGTTTGGTAGCTTATTATATAATTTTTTCCCAAAATACTGAGGAAACTTTTCAAAGGAACTTAATCTATGAATAGGAAACTGGAAATCACTTCTGTTCCTAGTTTGATCATTGTGAATATCTTCCATTAACATATTAAAGTAAGATTTGTCATAAAACAGACATTTACTAATGTACATAGATGATAGTGTTACAATTTTGAGTTCCCTAAAAATATATTTACAGGATGTTCTTGGTTTGGAATTTGTCATGATTCTAAGATATTTTTTTTGTAATTTAAAAACGGACTCCATACCTGAACTACCTCCCCAAAGTTCAACACCATACTGCGTTGAAGAAGCGAACAATGCATGATATACAATCAATCTCGTCTGTAAGTCAGTAATTTTTTGCAGAACAAACATTTGAAAACAAAGAGAATTTAATATATCTATCAAAATATTAATATATGCCCAGTTTAGTTTGTCATCAACCTCGAGACCAAAGAACATTGTTGACTTTTCAGTAGGAAGATGATTATCATTTAATATTATTTGATTAAGATTTTGTTCCCGTCTTCGCATAATGCTAAAATTGATTACATTAGTTTTGCTACTATTTAATTTAAGACCATTGGCCTTGAACCACACTTGCAAATCTGTGAGGGAATTCTGAATAATTTGCTGTAAATCTAAAATGTTGTTTAATTTAAGAATGGCTGTAGCATCATCTGCATACAGAACAATTTTGAAATAAAAATTTTGTGATAAATTAATTGTTTATATAGATTAAAAACAGAATAGGGCCAAGAATTGATTTTTACCCTAAAGGTGGGCTACAATTACCCTAAATCTACTTTGAGTTCCCAGAAAAATTACCCTAAATTTTTATATTTGTTTTTAATGCTATATAACATTGTTAAAATAATATAAATCTCACATAATGTGGTTAATTAGACTAAATAAGGGTTTCATATCAATAAATATACATATCAAATTATACTTGATTCTCAAAAACAACCTGAAAAAAGTACAAAGTGTTGAAATTCAGCTCTATCGTATATAGTGTGAAACGACCTTAAGTGTATCAATGGATTACATTCGTCAGAATGTTTTTTTATCTTTTACTGTACTTTGTAATTTGCTCATGTTCTGTAGATAGTTAGTTATAACCATATGTTATTAGAAACTTAGTTTATATGTTCTTTGTTGATTCGTTAAACCGCCATGGCTACTTTGGCAACCCATAAGGCTAAACTAATAACAATTGTAGTTTGACATTCACCTTTTGGAGCTAATGAATTTTAATGGTTGCACCAGAAAGTTTTGAATTAAATTAATTATATTGGATAAAAAAGCGGAATTCAATTTTCTGCGAGTTTTATGATTTTTATTTTGTCTATATTTGTACCACTAATCTGTTAAGGTGCACTTGTTATGAGCCTATTTCTGAATATAATATGTCATCAGGACATATTCTTGTTTTGGGACAGACAAAATACTTTTAGAAAAATCTTTTGATTATAAGAATAAGAAAGTTTATTGCCATTGACCAAGTTGTACATATGAATAGGCATTGTCAAATAAAATAAAATAAAATATTACTAAATATATTTATATCTATAGGTAACAAAGATTGAGAATAACGATTGAGAACTCTTAATTATTTACAGTATGAAAGATTTTGCTTTAATTTTATGTTTGATGAAGTCCTTAACTCATTAGAATGGGTTTGCTTAAAGCCAGTTATGAATTTTTTACTTAAAAAAGGAAGAGAAAGGCTGTCTGCCTGTAGAGGCTCAGGCAGCTTATAAAAATTCACACAGTTAAGTTTGAAAGAATTACCTGTGATGTGGTATATCCAATTGTTCCTTATTTCGTGTATGGTGAAAATGGCAAT